GTAAGTTTTCCTGGGTAGATGGTCTGCTTAAAAATAATGTTTGCATGGTATATTTATTTTAAAGTTAGATGCATTACCAAACAAATTTCTGAGGAAATTGAAGAACATATAATGGGATAATTTCAAAAAGTGTTAAGAAATAAAAGCAATGTCTGGACAACCACTAGTGCCAACAGTTATACGACAGTGAAGATAGCGCTACATTGGACACATCCTAACACCAACAATCAGTAATACAGGAAATAAAGAGATTTAGGAGGCGAGGACGCCCAAAGGAAACCCCAAAATGAACGTTGATGAGAGAGACCAAAGCTGCTGCACTGGATTCCATCCATGATATTGACGTTACTTCACAGTATAGAAAGAAACAGAGGAATAGCCATATGTGACATATAATGTCAGTACTTGATCATTACTGAATGTACATTATTACCCTACACACGTATTCAGCGCCACGTTCACGCTATTGTGGCATCGGGTAAAATTCATTGACCTATTGACACTGGATGGGTGGTGTGGTAAACATAACGCCGTCTTTACTTTGCAGGTCATTACCTGGTACACATTTCAAGATTGTTCGATCTGGTAGGCAAAGTCAATTTTGAATACACACACACACAAACACACACACACACACACACACACACATATATATATATATATATATATATATATATATATATATATATATATATATATATATATATATATATATATATATATACACACGCACACACACACCACTCGATGCGATATCTAGCTTAAAACATACAGGCTGGCAGGTGAGCGTCTAGCCAGTAAATAGCTCACCTGCTACCTAATATATGTTATACATTTCTTTATATATATCAAGTAATACAATCTTAGTGGTCATATATCGCTGCTGGCTGCTGTTAAGTGTACTGTCAATTATTTCTATGCCGTTAGTTTTCAGCATCGTATATTTTTCAATCAATTATAAACCCTTACGAAACGTCAGGACACATGTAATTCTGAAGTATAGATAAAGCATGCAAAAGGTTAATAATTCAAAAAGCCGTTTGAGACAGGTAGTTATAAAAATATGACAAGAAGGGAAAAACTTTTCAGTCACAAGTTAGAGCCAGGTTTTTGTTACCAGCACTGCAATAATTGAACAAGAGAACATCGTTTATTTTTTTATTGATTTTTTTTAAATGAATACAGCTACTCAGTGATCTTGTTATCCACGAGTGAAAGTTCTGCATTGAAATAAACATAACTGAAGGTAGTTAACAGTATTACACTTTATTACCTTCACCCAAGAGTGATTTCACTACTGCCTAATGCAATGCCAAGGTAGGGCAAAACGTTGAGCTAATTATGTTTTGTTTTTTTAATTACAATTAATAAACCTTTCACATATCCACAATTAACACACACATTAGGCACTTATAATTGCACATAAATGATTTGGGAAACTTTAAATGTAGGTGCAGCAAAAAAGCATAGTCGTTAATAAGTATGATGTGATTTTCAACATCAAGTGAGTGATCATCGACGCTGTTTAAACATTAAAAAAAAAAGTGTATAAGGCATCTGAATCTTCCTGCTGCAAAACCGCGTCAGCCCGAAGCTATAGGAATAAACTCACAGGGAGCAAGTACAGCAGGGATCTACCAGTCATCAGTAGAAATTATCCTCGTCAACACGCGTTTCGGCCCACTATTCCTAGACGCATTCGGAGGTGGGCCCTCCTGAGTTCATGAAGCTCAGGGCTGGTTCCCCGCTGCACGGAATTACCGGATGGTGTTTTACTTTCGGCCAGAGACAAGACGACTTGGTGGTTTCGAAGGAGGTACTGTGTGATAAGAAGCCGCCACGGCAGCCTAATTAAAGCAGTCAGCATGCCTGGACGACCGAGCGACAAGCTTACTTTGGTTTACCGGACACATGTTGGACTTTTATTAGCAGTTGGCAGAGGAACACTGGCAGACAATTCGGACACGATGGACTTTCAAAGGGGTGAGAAACCCTTTTCAACTAGACACCCGGACCAGCTCACCGAGGCCCGTCCCCTACGTTGTTGCGCTGCGTCCAAAGCCAACTAGAGGCCCTTTCGGCTGCCTCTCCCAGTTTTTTGAGTGTTCGTTTCCGTTCATTACCGCGCAATCCTAGTTCTTTCACCACATTGTAGAGCGAAGTGGAAACGAGGCCTCTCGCTCCCACTTCGACGGCAAATACCCGTACTGTGTAAGCCTCGTTTCTTCTCAGACCGGCTGCTAAATCACTGTACTTCTCGAGCTTGTACAAATGATTCTCCTCCATACGCGACTCAAAAGGGACGGTCAACTCAATCAGGATGAGCTGCCGTTTTTGCGCAGAATGGAGAACGATGTCCGGTCGCAGGCCGGTCTTACGAATCAACTCGGAGTACCGTTCAAGGCCTGGCAGATCAACCGCCAGTAACCAGTCCCTCGCAGAGTCTAGCACAGATGGAGCGAGTGCGTTTTGGTTGACCTTACCTTTTGGAATCTGCCCAGCCTTGAGGAAACGAATGGGGACGATGCTAGAACTGGCTCTGGCGTTAGCCCTCATTCTAGCCTGGTCGACAACGGCTGCTAACTCTTTTAGCACCTTGTTGTGTCGCCATGTGTATCGGCCTTGACCTAGAGCTTTCCTGCACGCGGACAGGACGTGCTCAAGAGTTTGCTTCGATTTACACAACGGGCAAGTCGGATCGTTGGTCGCAGACCATTTAACCATGTTAACACCGGACGGTAATACATCGTACTCCGAACGAACGATAAAGCTCTGTCGCAGCGGGGTCATCCGCCAGATCTCACCCCATGTGAGTACTCTTGGCAATGCGCTCTCCAGGCTGACCCAATGGTCCTGCTGCGACTGCTGGGCTGCTTTCTGGACCCGAACCTCGTTTTCGTTGTCCCTCACCGTTTGTATTACCATGTCTCGGCGTTCTTTGGCTGAGGCCTTTGATCACCAATTGACTTTCCCGTGCCCTAGGCCTCGTCGGTCGGTTTGTGTGTATCCCATTATCTCTCTCAATTTTAGTGCATTCTGGGCAGATTCTATCGCATCGAGGACTCTCCATTTGGTTCCAGTCTTTAGAGCGGGCTGGACAGCGATGACATTTGGGTCTGAAGACTCGCGCAGAAGCATGGCGAGCCTTACCTTGCCGACTTTAAACTCTTCGGTTATTGATTTGAACGGAAGTACCAGCTTAGCCTGCTTGCAATACAGAGCCACGTCGGTCAGACAAGGCGGTGCACCAATCCACTTTCTCAAGGCTGTGTTGATTTTTTCCTCCATGGTTTCCACTGCAGTCATCGTCACCTCGTAGACTAACAGTGGCCATAGGAGTTTCGGAATCAACATGAATTGGAGGCACCATACCTTGAATTTTCCGATCAGCCTGCATCGCTCGATCGCGAGCAGGCCTGTAGCCAGTGACTCGTGTATTCGCCGGACCTGTTTTGAGTACACTAGACATTGGAGGTCTGGTCTTATACTAAATCCGGAAAGAACAGATAGACATAACGTACAGACAGATAATCATGTGCCGATATGTTGTTAAAATCACCAAACAAAGATCATTGGGAGCCACAGTGGTGTAACGGCTAGACTCTCGCCTTTGAATACTAAGGTCATAGGTTTAAATCCGAACCGTTCTGGCTTTAAAAAAATCCTTTGCAATAATTAAAAAAAAAAGGTATGCAAGCGGGACATGAACGATACAGGTATTGATGTGGGCTGATGAGAAAATATTATGTGGTTGAATCGGGAAATGCAAAAAATAAAAAGGGCACAATAACTGCAAAAAGGATGAGAGCTGAAGGTCTGAGAACAAACTCTAAACATACATGTTGACAACTATGGTCCTGAAATCCCATGCTGTAATTGTGAAAGACTTTTCTCAGCACGGGCGGGTTTTGCTAATTAGTCCCAACTTTCCTCATAGCGCAATATAACACTGTCGTCTGGAAAGACGGAAAGAGGGCAATAATGTGCTATGATCATTTTATTATAATACTGTGGTTTTTAATTATATAGACAACTAAACAACATCTTTGTTTTTTCAACAGGTTGCCATGGTGGTTCATTTACGTGGCATGGCTCTTGCTTGGCATCTACAACCTGTTCCTCTCTTTCTACATCATGTTGTATGGTTTAAGTCTTGGCTACGAGAAGAGCGTTGAATGGGCGTTGGCGTTCTTCACAGGTTTCCTGATGAACGTTTTTATTATTCAACCAGTAAAAGTGATTCTAATGGTGTTTATACTAGTGCTGCTCTTCCAGAAAGGCCACACGCTCAGAGAACAAGCTCCGGTAGTTAAGTTAAGTAAGTATTTCTATTAGCATATCTCCGTAGAGACGCTGAATTGTGAAAGATAAGGAATTGATGCACTCTGTCTTGGTAAGCATGGTATTTCTAATCCTTCATTTATTCCTACACTTCCCATATGAGTATTAGTTAGTTAGTTAGTTAGTTAGTTAGTTAGTTAGTTAGTTAGTTAGTTAGTTAGTTAGTTAGTTAGTTAGTTAGTTAGTTAGTTAGTTAGTTAGTTAGTTAGTTAGTTAGTTAGTTAGTTAGTTAGTTAGTTAGTTAGTTAGTTAGTTAGTTAGTTAGTTAGTTAGTTAGTTAGTTAGTTAGTTAGTTAGTTAGTTAGTTAGTTAGTTAGTTAGTTAGTTAGTTAGTTAGTTAGTTAGTTAGTTAGTTAGTTAGTTAGTTAGTTAGTTAGTTAGTTAGTTAGTTAGTTAGTTAGTTAGTTAGTTAGTTAGTTAGTTAGTTAGTTAGTTAGTTAGTTAGTTAGTTAGTTAGTTAGTTAGTTAGTTAGTTAGTTAGTTAGTTAGTTAGTTAGTTAGTTAGTTAGTTAGTTAGTTAGTTTTAGTTAGTTAGTTAGTTAGTTAGTTAGTTAGTTAGTTAGTTAGTTAGTTAGTTAGTTAGTTAGTTAGTTAGTTAGTTAGTTAGTTAGTTAGTTAGTTAGTTAGTTAGTTAGTTAGTTAGTTAGTTAGTTAGTTAG